AGCACAGCTCTAGAACACATTAATTTCTATCAAGAACACACCAATACCTATGCTTCAGGTATACTTGACAATGACCTCAATTTTGAAATGCCTGCTACATAGATTCTTGTCAAAACTTGCAGAGATAATTTCTACTGAAGAAAGCAAGCTTAAGAAGACAAAAGCTAATCATGTATTCCTCTAGACTCAGCTCTGTTTCAAGTCCCATCACTGGATTAAACATTATACCTGGGGCTTTTATTAGAGGCTGATCTGGGAACACACTAACCTTGATTTTCATTATTTAACTTATACTTGTCTTTGTTAGCTGGCTTAATTCCTTCTTGGAATGAGGTAGTAAAAGGATGGATGGATAGATGGATGGATCCATAGCCAATCAGAAGACTGCTTCTGTTGCTTTTTGTTTTGGGGCAAAACTGCTATCAAAGACCCATTTTATTATTTAATAAAGTACTCATTTTATTATTTAAAACTTCTTATATAATACCACAAACAGTAAATTCCTCTCAGAATTCAATGTTAGAATAAAATTTTCTCTTGTAGTATGTTCCATTCAATTGTGAAACCTACCATATTTACTTTTTTGTCTTAATGCTAAACTAAGTATAATTGCTGAAATGCAATTACTTCTCCTTAGGTTTTCTGACATGACTATCTCCACTCCTCCTTTATTTCTAAATTCTTAGCTTTTATTCCTGTTTTTAAAGTAATCAAATATTTTACCCTACATTATATCCCCTTTTTTAAGTAGGTGAGTATAAATGCAACACTAAGATAGAGGCAGGAAGTGCAAAATGCCCAGTGGTAAGGTTAGAAGCAATTTAGAAGCACTTACTTGTAGATATCAGGGTGTGATTCTAGGGCTTTTAAAACAGGGCATTTGAAAGCAACTTAGAAATACAGAATCCCTGAAGAGGTAGTTTAGGGGCTAAATCAGTAGGCAAGTCATTTGTGGAAAGGATAGTGGTCCATTGTAGAGAGAGAATCCCAAAAAACAATTTCAAATTAGAGAGGCAGCAGCTACAGGCCCACCTACAGAGACTGATGCAGTCTCCTGCTTTGGGAAACATGTTAGCGGCAGAGCTTTAAAGTGCCCAAGCAGGGGATCCACTTCAAAAGAGTGCGGGTTATATTCCATTGAATTGATGAGGTGCAAGGGAATTGTTTTTCCTTATCTAGGTGAATAGAGGACCTTGGGTAGGTGCAAGTAACTGCCCTGTGACAGCCCTGGCCCTTGTCTAACTGTTTACTGAGCCCTTTTATATGCCAAGCTCTATGCAAGATACTTTACAATGTCATTTAATTCTCCCCTCTCAGAGGCAGGATGATCCCCAATTTCATACAGGAAGAAAATGATTTCAAAAGAATTAAATGTATCCCTTAAGGTAACACCAGTAAGTGGCTCAGTTGGGATTCAAACTCAGGTTAAATGTGTTCTTCCCATTATACTGATCACAAAAAGGATGACAGGCTATACCAGATGTTTTCCCCCTACCATTTCCTGAAAGGAAAAAAAAGAGTAGAAAAAGACATTTCCAAATAAATGTACAATGTACTTTAAAAAAGACTGCTTCCAAAATAAAATAGCACAGGTTTCAAATTATTTTCCTTTTGAGAATTTAAGTCTTCTACGTATTAGATGTTGAATATGTGTTATAGAGATTGAATATAATCCCTATTAACATAAACGTAATATATAAGGCAAAGCCTAGTGAAACACAATTGCAACTTGACATTTCTCCCCCCGCACACAAAATAACGATTCACATTTTAAAAATGTATTTCAAACTTTCTATATTTATCAATATTCCACATCAAGCTGATAACATAATGATAAAAATTTTTGTTGAGCTCCTAATTAAGTGGACAAGGCACATAAAATAAGGCAGTACCTGCTTTTTTTTTTTTCCAAAGTAG